TGTGTGTGTGTGCTCTTGGCTGCCGTGACTGAGGTCTTGGAGCTTAAGGTCTCAGGGGATGCGAGTAGCAGAATAAAGATGTCAGAATTCAGGACAACAGACTCGAACCTTTCCAGGGAACCAAAAGGCAGGATCCCATGGGAAGATGCCCTGAAGGGCAGATAAGCCCAGGTGAGCTTAACTGATCTTCCAGGCCAGCCTCCTCAAATCGCAAAGAGAATTCCCTGATGGGGAGGAAACCAAGCAGGCACCGCCAGGTCACCAGCTTTGCTTAACTGCTGAATGGGGAAGTCCTGATTGAGCTCAAACATGAGAAAAGGACTAAGAACAGAAGGTGAAAGGAGGTATGGGGTACCCAGGAGGGATACAAGCAGGCAGAGGGCACATTAGGAAAGTTTAGCTGGAGTTGAAACTCCAAGGGATTATAGGGCAGCAAGAAGGACTTCCATAGTCAGCAAATGAAGACAAAAGAAAATGTGGGTCTGCGGCTGGATGAGACAGGCAGCTCGGTGATGAGGGACACAGGAAAAGGCTGAAATATGGAGCGTTTCTTTGCCTTGGTCTTTATTTGCAAGATCTTCCCTTGCTCGGTGGTGATTTAGGGTGAGATGTAGCGCCCGTGGCAGAGGCTTACCTTGGACACCCAGCAAATGGGACACGTGAAAGTCTGGAAGGGGATGGGTGAGGCAGCTCCGTCTTGCCTTGAAGAGGTCATGACAACTGAGAGGTCCCCAGTCACTGGGAAGGTTGTGTCTGTCTTCAAGAGGAGTGAGGAGGGGAATTACAGGCTGGCAAACCTCGCCTTGGTCCCTGAGAATGTTATGGAGCACGTCTTTGTGGAAGCTGCTTCTGTGGTTGGGAAGGTGGCCAGTGGGGTTCAGCATGGATTTGCAAGGGCAAAAATGTGCCAACCCAACCGGGTAGAAATTTGGGAAACCACCACATTTCCAGTGGGCAGTTACGGTGAAATCTGCATACTGGAAGTAGGAGATGTAGGAGGAGCAGTGTCATCTTGAAATAGCCAATCTACTATAAATTGTTACAAAAATCTCTGATGAATAATAATAAAAAATAAATCTGTGATTTGATCCACAAATTGGGATATCAAAGATACGCTTCTTTAAAAATGAACAAAATGATAATCTCAAAGCTTTCTCTACTAAAATTGTGTTACTCTTAAGCATACATCAGTTTGGTTTTTCTTTTTCTCTGCTGGCTGGTACATATCTGTCTCAGATATTGACTGTGCTTTAAAATAAGAGATCTTGCCAATTAGATTTAAAAAAAAAAATCAGTGTCTGTCTTGATGTAAATCCAGTATTTAGGAGATAACCTTTTATATAGTATTTTCTGACTTTTTTAGGTCTCTGAGCTCTCACTTATAGCTCACGATTGACTTGGTCAAAGAAGGTGGTGCTGGCTGTGCATAGGAAAATGTTAAAACTAGCTGTTAAACACTGACAGATTTATTTATTTTTTTTTAATTAAAAATTGAACTTAGATGTGTAATGCGGCTTTGTGCTGCATAATAATAATCTGTGCAGCTTTTATGGGTACTATTTGTTAGCTCCTTCCATAAAATGACAGGTTATGTAAATCTAGTAAAGCTTTTAATTCATGTCTAATTTGATACTCTGTGTTTGGCTGCTTAATTTATAATCTTACAGTTTGTGCCTGGCCTTAGTTTCAGTATTAGGTTTCAAATGAAATAGACCTGCTCGTTTTGCAAATAGAAACAATAATGAATATCCAAATGAGTCTTTAAAGTTTGAAAGTTGAGAAAAAAAAAACTGAAGAAAAGTCAAATTTCTCTTCCTTTATTCAGGAAATGATGGAAGTGTGTTGCCAGAATCACCTTCTGTGCAAGGTTGGCTGTCACACACTTCTTCATCTTTTCCAATTAGTTGTAAGGAATCTTTATTAAGTATGGACCCCTCGATTCAAGCTTTTATTTTACGTTGAGAAAACAGAGTATGGGACTGCTCGCTGTTCACCATAAGTCTTTGGGGCTACTGGGGAGAGCTGGAAGAGTTGTGGCTCAACTTGACTTGAAAATGTGCATCTCTTACAGAGGATGGTGATTTGATGACGCTTGTGACTTTTCTTGGAAATGCCATCCTTGTTACTTTATCTGGTTTGGGTTCATCTTTGTTTTGCTTTTCTGATTATCGTGAAGACACTCTTTTCTTTTCAGCATAGAGTTGGGCAAGACAACTTTACCAGCCATTACACCATACTGAAATTCTGTCGGTGCCTTTAGTAGATATTGTAGTTCAGGGTCTGTTGGTGTTCATTATATCCAGCATTTTATACCTTGGCCAGAAATTTGTTTGGTGGGTGGGGATATAATTATTTTGGTCTCGTCTCAGTATTTCTAGCCTGATTGCAGGTGCTTAATATGAGCACGTACCCTCTGGCATGATGGGTGAATTCTCTGGTGACTTCTCCACCCCCAGCTAAAATTTCTCTCCTTAATTCTTGCAAATCACGTCTTTAAAAGTGGGTGTTTTTCAGTCTGATGTTAATGAATCACACGTTGGCAATATTTTCCCTGACGTGATAAACAATTGTTCCGTTAGTCTGTCAGATTAGTGAGCTGCAAACTCTGAAATGTTTTACGTGGGTTTTTTTGTTGCTTTTTTATTTTTCAAGATGCTATTTTGACAAACATTACAGTCTATCCCCTAAATATCTTGGTCTATATATCTTAGGCTTTAACAGTTCGAAGGGAGTTAATATTTGTGCTTTTGAGTCTGAGCCAGCTTGTGGCTTTTCGCTGGTCTTTTGGGTTGCGGGGGGAATTGGGGGATTTTTTGGTTGAACTGGACCTCTATCATGCTCTAAGGTAGTCTCTGAAGCTTTATTTTGATTCAGAAGTTTCCAGCTACCCGGAGCCGGAAATTGGATGATGAATTTTTATAGAATACCTAATAAAGTGCTGAAGTTAGTCATCCCTGTGATTTTGGTGTGCAATATTCTTTCAGGTATAAGCATAATATCTCTCTCTTACTCAAGGTGTCCTCTTTTCAGCAACATTTAATATTAATACTGAGATCATCATAGGGGACCATTAAAGAGACTGATATTCCTCTCAAACAGTGACCGTTAATCCTGCCCACATCCCTGTTTGGGAATTATCCAGATTATCTCTGCAGTTTCAAATGGTTTCCAAAGAAGTTGTTTCCTTCTTCCTGCTGTAAATCTTTTCTCCTGTGCTGCAGTTCTCTATTATACAACCACCTTATTCTGCAGGAAAGATGGTCAAGCAAAATGATTCCTGTATGAAAAGGAATAGTATTATCCTTGCTGGTGGTGCTGGAGATTATGTTGATTGATGGTTTCCTTTTGTGAACTTTGGTTCAAGGCTGCTTTGGATTCCTTTTCTCTCTCGTTTTACACTCTCATAGGTCAGTAACTTACCATTTGTCATCAGTAGTGGATTTTTCTACTAGCCTGAAGAATTAGTCTTCGTTAGACATTCAGTGATAAATTGGGGGGGGGGGGGGGTGTAAGCATGCTGTTTGCTCACAAAGGGAAGTGATTTGTGGAATTTTTCATGGACAGTCTTGTCCATTTTCGTGTGAGAACGCAGCTGGATCTTGTCCCAGTCCCTGCGGTTTATCTGTACCCTGTGGAAATGAAACGAAAATGTACTGACAACACCAGATCTGCTTAATGGGAGGTCCTGTGTTATCGTCAGTGACTGGGGCAAGGGCTCAGTCTGCCTTTGGTTTGTTCCCAAAACCGAATGCTGTTCTCATTGCTTACCCTGACTTTCCCCTTTGCTCAGGCTTTGTTTCCAGACAATGAGTACTGAAGGCTCAGTCTGGTTTTGGAGCATCTTCCTAACAAGTGCTGTTTAAAAAAGCCCTGTGAGGCTGTCACAGTTCACTTCTTTTCATACAAAGCAAACTCCAGACTTTTACTAGTGTGCATATTTATGTATTGTTTCACCCATACCTTGCCATAAAACTGAGGGCACCCTGGCTGCTGGGTGATTTGAGGGTTTTAACCTGCGTTTTAATTCTAGTAGTGTGACATAGATGCTCTCACCTGGAAGGTGTTGGAAACTCTACTGAAGTTACCCGTGACAACCTCACAATTTTAATAGAGGATGGGTTGACCCAGTGCTGCGGGATCTGGTGGAGTTGAGAATGGTCACTGTTAGGTTAATGGTTGGACTGGAGGATCTTCAAGGTCTTTTCCAACTGAGGGGATTCTGTGAGATGCTGGATCGCCTCCAAAGAAGGGCAATGAAGCTGAAGGGTCTAGAGCACAAGTCCTCTGAGAAGCAACTGAGGAAACTGGGATTGTTTAGCCTGGAGAAAAGGAGGCTGAGGACACTTCATCGCTCCCTACAACTACCTGAGAGGAGGTTGTAGTGAGGTGGGTGTTGGTCTCTTCTCCTAATTAGCAAGCGATAGGATGAGAGGAAATGGCCACAAGTTTTGACAGGTGAGGTTTAGATTGGATATTAGGAAAAATTTCTTCACTGAAAGGTTTGTCAAGCATTCAAACAGGCTGCCTAGGGAAGTGGTTGAGTCACCATCCCTGAAGGTATTTAAAAGACGTGTAGATGTGGTGCTTAGGGACTTGGTTTAGTGGTGGCCTTGGCAGTGTGACTTGATGAAATTAAAGGTCTTTTCCAACCTAAATGATTCTATGATTCTAATGTATATGAATACCTGAAGGGAGGATGCAAAGAGGATGGAGCCAGGCTCTTTTCAGTGGTGCCCAGTGACAGGACAGGAGGCAGTGGGCACAAGCTGAAACACAAGAGGTTCCATCTGAACATCAGGAAACACTTCTTTACTGTGAGAGTGACCAAGTGCTGGAACAGATTGTCCAGGGAGTTTGTGGAGTGTCCATTCTTGGAGATACTCAAAAGCCATCTGTATGTGGTCCTGGACAGCCGGCTCTAGGTGGCCCTGCTTGAGCAGGGAGGTTGGACATGGTGCCTTCCAATCTCAACGATTCTGTGATTCTGGGTTTTTTTGCAGGTATTCAGAACGAAGCCTGACAAAATGCGTTGGGATAACCATAGAGACCAGACCAGATTACTGCCTGAAGCGGCATTTAAGCGACATGTTATCCTACGGCTGTACGAGGCTGGAGATCGGGGTGCAGAGCGTGTACGAGGACGTGGCCAGGGACACCAACAGGTGAGAGGAAAGCTTCAGTGCGAAGCTGAGCGTGGCTGCTCGCTGTATTTCTGCTTTCTGGAATACTCCTGAGTAGCGGGTCTTGATGTGTTTGCTTGAACACCCATTTGACATTGAACGTTGAAACGTTTAGCTTCTTTCCTTGCTTGTGTGGCCGTAGGCCTGTTAAGAAAAACTAATAAACTGCAGTGGCTTCATGGATTTCTTTGTGATAGTCTGTAGACCGTGGCTTGAAAAAATGGAGTTATGTGTGATTTATTTTAAACTCGTGTTCTTTTCCTGTGTTGTACACCTCTCTCTTTGTTTTTGCTGCTTCATAAATAAGTGCAGTTTTTGTGAAGTAGAACATGTGCCCACAGAGAGCTCATCGTTCTTGTCCTACATAATTCACCATTTATAGGCTTAGGTAGCTACAATGCAGTATAACCTAATGGAGGTACTTACCAGCAAAGAGCGTGTTCTCTACACCAGGTACCTTTTTGTGCTGAGCATTGGAGAGGAGACAGGACCCTGGCAAGTACAGAGAGTGAGACATAGCCAGAAATGACTCCTGTTGATAGATTAGCCACAGTCATTCTAGGTGTACAGTGTCTCTAAGGATTGCAAAATATATTTGCAAGAGGCCTGGGATTTATTCCTTACCATCTTGGTCCTGTGGCCAAAAGAACACTTGTTCTGCGTAGGAGAGTGCGCAATATATTGTTCATCCCACCCCTTTCAGGCAAGTAAGCCAATCTTTCTTTTTATTTTTTTTTTCTTTTAATTGCAAGTCTGGTAATTCTGTTGAGATTTTTAGCTTGTTTCACTTCTGATGCTCAATCAACTTGCCTCCATTCTTAATGCATATTCCAGTCACCTACCAAGGATGTTTAATAACCATAATCGTATGTAATGAGAGAGTTCAATAACCAGATGGTTCAGTAACCAAAGCAATTTTTGTTAATACCTACCTTAAAGGCAGTAGTGCAAAACTGAAAATGTTGGGCATCTTCTTGTAGAGACTTAAAGAAAGAATCCAAAATGGGTTTCCTCCTGTGGGTTTAGCTGTAGTATTGCTGGTGCATAGAAGTGCGGGATGTCACTGCTATGAAATGGTCAGGCTCCAGGTCTCAGTACACAGGAAAAGCCATTTATTCAGTAGTCCAAGAATTAGAAGAGCTAATATTTATAGGTGGTAATTTCCTCCTCTAGATGTCAGAGCTTTCCAGAGGAAAAGATCCATACAGGAATGTAGCTAGATCTCGCTCTTAGGTGTATTCATTTCAATCTTAGATGTATTCATTTACAGTTAATTCTGACACAGATTATACATTTAACAATTAAATTTCTTTTCAGCTTTTAAAATAATTTTTTTACACCTCAAATCTAAAAAAAAAAAAAAAAAAAAAAAAAAAAAAAGCTATAGTCATAAAACTACATGTAGGGATTTAACAGAGGCAGAATCTTCCAGTAGAGAGGAAAGAAGAGGTCCTTAAAACAAGGGAAGTAGCTGTTTGGTTTGGTTAACATTAGGTCTCAGCCAAAGGTATGCATTTGTAAAGATGCCCAGATGGCATTAATTTTTCATCCAAAGGACTATGGAGGAGAAGGGTCACCTGCTGAGCTAATCTGTTGGCAAGAAATTTAAAAAAAAAAAAAAAATTGGGTGAACTGGTGTGAAAGTGTGGTGGGAAAAAACAGGGATTGGAGAGGGAAGAAGATAGCAAATTCTGAGAGGATAGAAATGTCCAGAAATGTCAGCCAGTCGTGGAAGAGCTCTCCCAGCTGGGAAAGAGCAGAAGCAAGGACTTTGTGGGAAGACTGGTCACATGTGATGGGGACCTCCTGGTAGCTCTTTGTAGTGAGTGATTGCTGTTGCGGAGGCAGAAGGTGGCTCCTGAGCCACGGAGGTGGAAGGAGAGAGGAGTTTGCTTGAGGCTGAGGAGTTATGTGAGATTCAACCTTTGTTCCTGCCATCGTTAGGGCTCCCAGGCTCTCCAAGCTCCTGGAGAGCAAGCCTGTGTTAGTTCGGTTTGATGTTGGCAGAGAACATGAAATCCTTCAAGAGTCCTAATCCAGCCTATGTTTTGGAGGTTTGGCACCTCTCAGAAGTTGAGAAGAGTTTGTGTTTCTCTAAAAGGAGTACTTGAGAGTTTGGCAAGCGTGTTGCAGGATGATTTTCTAGCTAGCTGGTTTTACTTTAGCCCCCATCCTTCTTCCTCTTTTCCTCTTCTGTTGCTTTTGTTTCTCATTATGCTTCATTTTACTTATACACTTCGGTGCAGAGTGTCCTAGTTTGTGCTGTGGCATCAAGTTGTGTCATTGCTTTACAAATGGAATTCCAGCAGCTTTCCAAAGTTTCTCAGGCTGTAGTTTCAATAGCTGTAGCCTTGGCGTGGTTCACCTGCTCTAGAAGTAGTAAACTTTTAGCCCCTAGTTTACTTTATTAACAGCCACATTCCAAGATTTGACGGTGGTAAACTGATAATAAAACTCAACCCTTCGCACTTTCTACTAAACGTATCAAAATATGTCTTTTTCTATGTGATCCTGAATCTCTTTTCTCTCTCCCCAGAGGTCACACCGTGAAGGCTGTGTGCGAGTCTTTTCACTTAGCCAAGGATGCCGGGTTTAAAGTGGTGGCCCACATGATGCCTGATCTACCAAACATGGGGATTGAAAGGGACATGGACCAGTTTGTTGTGAGTATGGCTTAAAATTACCAGGAGTTTCTAGTGTGTTCCAGCTTTTTCATCTAATGCTGCTTCTCTTCCTTAGCTCAGCCTATTAGTTACAATCTGGGCCAGAATTGTTTCTTAAGGACAAATAATTTAAAATTCTTTTCTGAAGGTGGAGGGTGAGAAAGATTTGTTGAACTACTTCATCCAGAAAATTATATCCTTGCCTCATGAAAGACTGAGTCACTCGGGTCTCTGTGGAATATAGCTCTTCCGTTATTAACTAGGGCTCTTACTTTTTTTCCAAGGTGGTTTTCTTTCCTTAGATTTAGACTAGAACATGATTTAAAGTTAAAAGCATACTATGTCGAAGGTAATTAATTGCAAAGTAGAGTGTATAGGTGTATTATATAGCATCTCTGTTCTTGGCTCAGTGCTATTCAATATCTTTATCAATGACGTGGAAGAAAATATAAAATTATTTCTATAAAAACTGAAATGAGGAGGAAAGAGCAAACGATAAACAGTGCAGAGAATTAACCACTTTATCTGGTAACGTGGTAGAAGTTTTTTGGTAATTATTTCATTATTTTCAGTCAAAATTGGTCATCTTTTTAAAATACTGCTGAAATTGCAGTCATGATACAGGGATCTCGGGTATATTTCTGTGCAGGGTTAGACCAGATGCTTTCTGGCACTAAAAACTATCAGTGCAATGGAATATATTGATTAGAAGTACCGGCAGAAAGCAGTGGTTTATCTCGGTACACTGCAACAGGCACATCTAGAAAGACCCAGCTGAAACTGCAGCTGTACAGTACATAAAAGAAAATCTGAAACCTGCAATAGTGTGTTGTTGGTTTTTTTTTCTCAGGGGTTTTGTGCAGAAATCCTTGAGCTCTTCATAAACAGAATGTCACAGTACTTAGCAAATATTATGTTTGTGTGACAGAGTGAGAGGCCGGGACAAAGTGATGTGCACAAAGCTAGAGGTGAAGGCAGTGGGAGAGCTGAAGTAACTCAAAATTTCTGCCTCAGACTCTTGCTCCTGGAATTATTTTCTAGTAATGCTGAAGGAGGTAGAGGATGGACACTGCAGTAGCTGTGTTTTCATAGAATTACTCGTGATGCAGGGTACAGCAAAACATGAGTCCCTTACTCAGTATCTTGAGAAGTTGCAGCTCTGGTTCTGGATTTTTAAGGACATGTCATTAGTGAAGTAGTATTAGGCTGAAGAGAATTTGAGGTGGAAGAATAGCAATACTGGCAAAAAGATTTGAAGAGCTAACCTTGGGTAAGACCCAGCAAGGAGGAGACAGTAATCTAAAGTATTTGCAAAGTGTAAAACTGAAGAGGGAGGAAATTATTTAAGACAGAATTATAAGCCTCTATAGAAAATCATTAGTGATTATTAGTCATTGCTGCTTATTCATGATAAATGGCTAAAGCTTTTCCGCTCTCATATCTGGAGTTGCTCCTGTTTCATTACAGGAGATTTGGGGAGTCTGTCACTTGAAGTTACAACTTTTAAACACTGAACTGCCTCTGGTTTCTGCAGGCCAGCAGGCTCCCCCCTGCTTGTTAGGGGAAGGGTAATGCCATGCTGGATTTTGCCCACCCAGTGACAATTTTTACAGAAATAGAGGCAGATGGCAAAGTTTTCAGAAAGAAGAGACAAGAATGTGATGAAAAGGCTGGAATTGTGAAAGCGGAGATTAAAAGAAAGCTGGGAAAATAGTTGAGCATAGAAAAACAAGAGAAAGAGAAAACAAGAGCAGAGAAGGTCAACTGGTTGAGACTGTTTCTGCCAGAGAAGTCTCATGGCTTTAGGAGCTGGGAAAACCAATGGTGATGGTCAGGCAGCTCTGGGACACAGCAGGAAGGAAGATAAAATCAGAAGTTTTTGCTGGAATTGGCAAAAAGGCTGGTTGGAGGGCCAGGAAAGAGAAGTGCTAAGCAGGGGAATAAGAAAACCAGGTGATAGTTGAAGAGGGGGAATTGGAAAAGAGAGGGTGATGGGGCGAAGACCAACTCAAGTGACAGCCCCGTTAACGAGTTCAGAAATTTGAAGCGAGGCTCGCAGATCAAATTAAGATTTGATGCCAGTGAACATACGGACGAGGAGTTGGAGGATGAGTAATCAGTGTGGAGGATGAAGCCCTCAAGAAGTAATGTGAATGCTGCAGAGTGAGGAAGAAAAATGGGACTTGGGGAGGCGGGCTGGTGGGGAAGAGGTGATAGATCACATCAACATGGAGAAGAATTGTACCTGCGTTGTTTTATGGAGAAGAAAGTATGGGAAATGGGAGAAGGAGGAATCCAAAATGCCTGTGTTAGAGGTGCACGGGGTCCCCATCACCATCTGAGACCAGACAGCCCATGGAAAAAGACTGGTGTGAAAGAGGCAGCTGCAGAGTTGATGGCCAGCTAAGTGATCACTGTGTGTTTCAGAGAATGGAGCTGCAGGGAATGAGAGTGGAGAGGTTGTGGATCACTGTGACATGTTTGAAGATGGAATGGTAAACAAGAGCCAGCTATCCTCTTCCTTTTACCTTCTCCTCTGTCTTGCTCTCCTATCTTAAATGCTTTAGAATTTATTTTTAAAAGATCCTTTGTCTTAAATAGGGGAGAATAGAGGGTAAAAACAACCCTTCTTTTTTTTTTTCTCCCCCAGAGCCCTGTGCTGGTGAATATAATAGAAGTATTCAGCAGACAACAATTCCTTCTCTCTCAGGGATTCAGCTAGACAGTACATTCTCTATTTCCTACCTTCAAATTTTATATCCTGGTTTTGAGTTCTTAAAACAACTTATATGTTGGGCTGTATAAATGTTAGTCCATGCTGGTAAATATTTAATTTCCACTACATAAAAATAATATGAGAGCAAAGAGAGGAACCGAGTGGAGAACATCTGTTGTGTTCTTGCAACAGTACTAAGCTGTTCATGAGCAGCAGTAGTGCTCTTTTATGCAGTATTCTCCTATTCACGAAAACATATAATCTTTCTATAAGATACCTCTGCCTTTCTTTGGACAGAGACACCTGTGGCTTATCAAGGATCCTTACAGATTTCTGATTTTATAGCCGTTCTAAATAAGTTTGGAAAAAATAAGTTATTTGTTGTAATGCTAACCTTCCTTCTAGCCACTCTGCTTTTCAGACCAGGGAAAGGCAGGACAAGAAGGAACCAGATGACTTTAGAAGGGGGTCTAAGCACCTTGCCTTCATTACCGGTTGATATATTAAATACAGGGGCTTCTCCTGGGAAGATAATAACTTGCTGATTGTGCTGACTGCCTACTAAAAATACTGGGTGCTTCTTCAAATTGAACAGGTAATTATGGTTTCAAGAGGAACGTTGCTTCTGTCCCTTATGACCTATTGATTTCAAAGTGTTTCCTGCTGTTCCCATCTAGCAGCTAGGATGCCCATCGGTTACTCTTTTGCAAACTTATCTAGGTTTTCAGAGTTGCGGGTGTGTATAGCAACTGTTTTCCTTGAGAGTTTATTAATAATTATTCAAAACTTTGATTTATTGATAGGAGTGATTCTAGTAGATAGATTTTTTTATTATTTTGTTTTTTTACAGTAAGTGGCAGGTGACTGGCTTTTTGCCTGCCTTCTTCATGAAGATTATTACAGTTACTTTTTTTTTAAATAGCGTGGATATACTAGTCCTGTGTCCCAGTTATGTTGTGCTTCTCCACTCCTTCCCCCGTCATGCCTCTCTTTTTTTTTTTTTTTTTTTTTCCCTTATTATTGATTCTTTTTATAGCCTCAGAGGATTTCCTTTCTACTTCAGGTCTTTCCACCCCACTCCACATATGGGAAAACGCTGTAGGGAGGGAGTATGCTCTGCTTCCTCCCACCACCCATGTGGTTGTGCCAGGTAGCGTACACATACACACACACACAGTGCTACTTACAGTTGGCAAATGCAAGCCTAACAGATAAGACTGATTCCCAGTGCCTCACGTAGCAGGTGGTCGGAGAAAATAATTAGAATAATAGCTAGAATAAATCAAGGACTCAGCGGGAATAATGGAATTGTTACCAGAGCAGACACCTCATCCTGTGGAACGCGATAAACACTCAGCTTTGCTGTTGTAGCACGAGAGAGATGAGGTGACTCTAGGGGTAAATGGTTGGGAAGATTCATGAATCACACTTGCCAACAGGGCTACCAAGCAGAACTTAGGATTTAAGCAAGAACTTTAGAGGCTAAAGAATTCCCAGGATGCTGTTACTAATTCCTCATTCTGTTTCTGCAGAGCCACTGAGTGGCAATAGTATAATCAACAAACTTTATCCGCTCTAGAACAAATATTACTAAGCTAGTAACATATTTATTAAGGGAGAAGATATTCCTGTGTTTGCCTTTATTTTATTATTTTTCTGGTCTTTGCCTAAGCATGATTTACTGTTGCTGTTCCTCTTCGTCCTCCCGGAGGAATGGCTGTAAGCCCATCTCAAACAACTTTAAAGACCCATCATAGATGAAATAAATCTGGAGAGCAGAAAAAAAAAAGGAAAGGAAACAGGGAGGAGAGCCAGAAGATTAGAAGTTTCAAGTGTGGGAAGTGTCAGGGGAAGTGTCACAGCAAGTTGTTGGCAGAACCCTCCAGCTCTGAAGGCACGTGGGAGCTGGTGGATGCTGCCCAGAAACATCAGATAGGCTCTTTTCTCATGAGGAAATCCGTGAGGAGGTCCTGTGGCTTCACTCTGTCCATCTAAAGTCTACTATAAATACAATGATGAGGGTAAAAACATAGGCAAGACCATTTAATGGTGAGTACTGGAGACAAGTAACAGACTGAAGAGATTGTTGGTCCAATTCAGCAGAGCCATTCCTGTGTTCTTAAAATAAAATTCAGTCATCGAATGGTTTTAGTCTGGTAAAAATTAGTTTTCTTATAGTCATGTGTCAGGCTGGGGTTTTTCTGAAGGAATTGCAAAATAAGCATTTCCCAGAAATAGACTAATTTTAGTGAAATGCCTGATGCATCTATGATCTAAGTGTAAG